AAAATTAAAATAAACATTGGTCATGATTATTATATCACCTTGTAGTTGAAACAAACACAATTGGTTGAGAAGTGTCATTGGAAAGCCGTTAATGACATACTCTTAAAAAAATATTAGCTTGAGTATGAGTGATATACCATCAATGGTGTGTCATGAAATATTGGGTGACATTAGAACCTAAATTAAAACAAGTTTTATTATGGCATTGTACATAATTTCATAATTGTTATATCATTATTTAATCATTATTTAATCATTATTAAGTCATTGTTATGTCATGTACAGGTTTTTTCTAGAAAAAAACTGCGAGGGAGCACTGTAATTCAGTGGTGCCACCAAGTGCGGGAGATAAGGTTCTCCCAACCAGGGTGTGGAGTTTTTGATAATTCTAAGTTATAATGGAGCATTCTATGGCTTCTTTGGGGCCAAAATTACTATCAGACAGGTCACAGTTGAAGACTGTGGCCACATGTGATCAATGGTCACTCAGAATTTGATGGTTGCCAGAGGATCTGCTCCCCAGGGTAAGGGGGCGCATGGCCATGGCATGAGGGTGCTGCGCCCCTGTTCCTTTGTTTAAAAAAATCCCTGATGTATATAGTGATTCCAGTTAGTTTGTTCCATTTTGCTTCACAGGAATTTTTCTGGATATAATTTCTTCTTTATTTTGTATCCTAAAATGCAACTAAATATTTTGGTAATATTTTACTATTATTTATTTCAGTATGTGGTCTTCTTGACCCAGCAGAGTTAGGATTCACTATGACACATGAACACTTCACAATGGTATTCAATGTATCCTATACGGAGGCTGACAGAAAAGAGGATTTGAAAACAATGACAGATGCTCCGCTTAACATGCGTAATCTTGGATGGATTAGACAAAATCCGTAAGAACAAAAATTAAATTGACATAGTTATATAATCATTGACACATTAGTGTGTCTACACTACACTTAAAACCAGGTTTACACTGGGCTACATTGCACTTGCCTCATAGTATGTTCACATTACAATTAAAATCAAGTTTACACTGGGCTACATTGCACTTGCCTAATAGTATGTTCACACTACAATTAAAATCAAGTTTACACTATGCTACATTGCACTTGCCTAATAGTATGTTCACACTACAATTAAAATCAAGTTTACACTGGGCTACATTGCACTTGCCTAATAGTATGTTCACACTACAATTAAAATCAAGTTTACACCGGGCTACATTGCACTTGCCTAATAGTATGTTCACACTACAATTAAAATCAAGTTTAC